ACTTAATAAATAATATATAATAATAAATATTTTCTTTTTTTATAGTATATATTTATTTAATAAACATTTTTTCATAACAAATTTTTCTGTCAGAATAAAAAATTTGTCAAGATAAAATAAAAAATATAACTTGCTATATTAAATTTTTGAATTAATTGAAAATTGTTTATATTGCATTAAATTTTACATTTTAGAATATGGATTTGTTTGGCAAGACTATCTTGATGCCACAGACAGTGTGGAAGTTCCACAAATTATGTTCCCTCATGTGGAGTTGACATTGCAAAACAGTATTGAGATAGGTATGTCACTAGAGGTTCCAGTACAGAAAAAAAATGGCCAAGAAGAATTATCATACTGGGTAGCCTCTATTGTCATGGCTTGTGGACCTTTGTTACGGTTGCGTTACTTTGGCGGTGATGATAGATCATTAGAATTTTGGTTTAATCTTACAAAAGAAGCTGGTCATGAACTTGGCTGGAGTGAGAAAAATAATAAAAAATTAGAACCACCTGACATTATACTGGAGAAATCACCAGATTGCATAGACAAGCTGCGTGACTTTTTAGCAACAGCGCGTACACTTCCACCAGAGATGTTAACAGGGGTAAAACACTAGATATATTTTCACACAATTTTTTATTTTAGAATAATTAATTTAATATAATGATCCTCTTATCTTTTTTCTACACAGGATGGCTTAAGTATGACAGACAAAATAAAACAAGGCATGAAAATTGAGATAAGTGATGTCTTGCATCCATATAAGTTATGGGTAGCTACGGTAAGAACACAATTGCAAAAATTTCTAAAAGAAGAGAGATTTAAATCTGTATTATAAAATACAGTACAAAAATAACTTGCACACACATAACATAAATTTTTATAAAATAAGAGAAACACACACACACACACAGTAAAGTAATTATTTTTATGTGCTCTAATGTTTAAAAATATTTTATTTTTTTTACAGATTATTGAAAACGTTGGAGGACGTCTTTTATTAAGATATGATACACCAGGTTCTTTTCATGAAGACTTTTGGATATTTTGTACATCCGAACGTTTACATTCATATGGATTTGCATCTAAATCAAATTCCACTTGGTTCTTAGAACCGCCTGGCTCAATAGTCGACTTGTACACTTATGAAGAATGGAAAGATTTGTTGGAATCTAAACCAAAAGATTGCGAACTACTGGAAGAATTATTTAATAATAATATAAATCATTCAAAACACAGCTTTAAAATTGGAATGAAAGTAGAAGCTCTGCATCCAGTAGATCGAACAAAGATCTGCCCTGCTACTGTAACAAAAGTATTTGACGATATATATTTTCTTGTAAATATTGATGTGCATATTGAACACTCAGATAAATCAGATGATACATTTGTGACCAGTAATTCAGAGAACAATACATGGTTATGTACCGCAGAACATCCGTACATATTTCCAATTGGATGGGCACAAAAACACGATATCATGTAAGTATCACCTAAATAGTACAAATATATCTTTTTAATCATTTATGATACTATAAATCTGTAATTATAACTATAATTTGCTATAATTCTATAATTCTATATAAGTATTATTACTTATAATTATGTATAGAAAACATATAAAATATATTTCTCGAAATATCTTTCTGTATAATTCTTTTTTATCTTAATATATATATTGTAGTTTTCTTAATTTTGATCTGTTGCAGGATTACTCATCCACAAGGTTGGACTTCAAAGACTGAAAACTTTGATTGGAATGACTATTTGGAAACATTTCACGCTAGTGCAGCATCTGAAAATTTATTCAGCAAACGTGCGAGCGCCGTTGAAGCGGGTTTTGAATGTGGAATGAGATTGGAGGCTGTTGATCCGGAACACGAACATATAATATGCGCCGCCCACATTACTAAAATCATTGACGATCTGTTGTGGATAAAATTAGATAATTATGAATATTTCCGGCCAGATCATATAGTTGACATGCATTCCTTGCAAATATTTCCTGTAGGATGGTGCGAATCTAATCACTATCCATTGAAACCTCCGCACAATTACATTGAGATTTGTAAGAAATTAGAAATGTTTATAAAGGAGGAGAAGAAAGCCAATCCTTTGGACATACCGATATCCGAACCACGGTCTTCGCTCTGGTGTCCAAAGATATATTTTAATTACCGATGTTTCACAGGCCCGATGATCTCGAAAGGAAAATTGGCGACTCTTCCAAAATCAGTAGGACCTGGACCAGTTATATTGGTCATGCGAGAAGTTTTATCAATGATAGTATCTGTTGGATATAGAAGCGCTAGAATTTTGAAGGTTCTGCAATGCGATTCTAAACCAGATCCCGGATATCATTTAGAAGTTTTAAAGGCGAAGCACAAAAATAACACATATCGCGCGAGTGTGGCCATCGTTACATCAGGAGACATGGTAGCGGACTTTTGCAGAAGTATTTGCAAAAAATTAATGGTATGCCCAAATTTATTTGGTCCGTTGCACATACCAGAAAATGAATGTCCAGATGAGTGTTA